ATGAGGTTCCAAAGTGCTTAAATATGATAATGGATCAATAATGATAATGCTATAATTAATAGGCAAAACAAACGTTCATTGACTTCATTTTCTTTCAATCCTAACATTTTTCACCACTGGCAGATGAAGTTAAACTTAAATATATTTTATGTCTATAAGTCTACTGTATAATTTGTTGTTGCCTGTATTATGTTCTTTATTGAACATTTACGAAACTATTGTCCTTTTTAGTACAGTTATGTGTAATGTGCATAACCACTCCCAGTTAGTTGTATTAGTATGTATCACTTTGAGAAAAATTACAAACGGAAAGCCAATGGGTAACCGAAACCTAATGGAGCCTTACCCGGTGTTCTTCAATAATTTATAAGTTTAAGGCATCTGTGAGTGTACCTAACAAAACGTAAAGGAGACAAAGTAGAATCTTAAGTTTCCATAATTAGGTTTAACTGCTCCTGAAATTAATCTTTCATGTGACAGTATCTTTTATTTGAATTCTGGTGTACAGAAACACTGAGATCACTAAACTGAAACTTATATACATGGAATACATCGACAGTTTAGCGTAGGTTAATGTAGGTTTCTGAATATATACTGTATATACTGGTATATGGAGTAATTTCCTCTACGTTTGTTTCATTCACGTTCCCATCAATGATGGTTTCCAGCTGCTTTATGCAATTGAAACTACCAATGATACTTTACTGTAAATTTCCATTTCTGGAACTAACTTTGTTGATTTCCGGTAGTTTCCAGTCGCTGAAACTAACCTCGTAAATTTAAATTTGTAAATGTGTGCATTATATAAAAACAAACTTATATACTTACCTGTCTGCGAAGGACAATAAAATAACTAGTATATCACAAATGTACACTAAAAACTAGCATATAACCATAAACACTTTAACAGTACAGTATTTAAATGGGTTATAGCTAAAACGGCACCACAGCAGAACGGCACCAAATTTGTGTGGCGAAAACGGCACCATATTGGCGAAAACGGTTACTGATTTCTGGGCTAAAACGGCACCATATATAAAACAAAGTATGACGTTGACTCATGTTTTATTTCATTTCATTATAACATTAGCAAGATTATATCAACATATGAGTCATTCTCAAAATCCGTGCATATTTATGTCAGATGTTTGTATCCGACAAACTTAAGTCAAAATCAAACCAAAAAAAATATGGTAACTAACTTATCCCAGTATCTTCTACACTTTACAGTAACAAAATTAGGGAAACTATATTTTTATATTTACTTTACACCACCCAATTTTATTCAATACTCATGTGTCACAACTCCAGTCGCTGATGTCACAGATGTGGCATTTGAATTGTTTTGTCTTTTTCATAAGCAATAAATATTCAATTTCAAAACTCCATGTTATATTGTAAAACTAGATATTTTAATATATATGTACATGAAATAAATATTATCTTTGTATTTTTTCTTTTCAAAATGATGTTACAAATTTCGTAACGGCAGTGACACAATTCCAGGAAATGTCTAATAAAAATGGTAAAATATGAAAAATGAAACATCATTAAGCTTGCATAATATATGTTATGTATATTCAGAAAAATTATTATGTTATGTGTAGTGTTTAGCAGGTCAGGGTTCCTCACATGCACAGATGAGAGACACGTCTTGACAGTCCTATACTTTATTCCTGAATACCCATACAGGCCATGCCGCTTACGGTCACCCAGATCATACTAGCGACACAACTAATTATCACCAGTACACTACATTCCCTCTTTTCCTTAAGATTAAAATAATTTACTTATCCTGTATATTACAATGAGACTGACAATCACTTCTTTTTTTTCTACATATATGACTATAAAAATATATATAAAACATCACAGTCAATACTCCTCATGTTGCGTCACCTTTCCACATCTTCTGGAGAATCACAGAAAATAATATTCAGTTCAAATACAATTCACTCTCCTTTGATGCCCTTTCCAATCACTGTCGGCACAGTAGATGTATTTACTATCTAAACATTCTGCAATCCGATTATCCCTTGATCTCATCTGTATACTCTATGCACTAATCTCTCTTTGGGTCAGTTCATTATGCCAGACAGGTAAATGCCGTGTGTTATTTTAACCAATTGGCGGGGTACTTGGCTGTAGGGGTAGTGGCATGTAGGGGTTTTGGGATACAACCGCTATGGGATGCCCATTTCCAATCACTGTCGGCACAGTAGATATATTTGGTTTAAGCACATTTTTATTTCGTCAAAGAAACCTGGATAGGCGAACAAGCCTAGTGGCTTATATAGACGAAACTCCATTACATTGTTCCAATAGCTGGATACATAATTGAAATAATTCGACAACAAAAGAAAAATACTGTGACAAAATAACAGATAAATGATTGAATAATAAATATGTTCGGTATAGTGTTGGTTATGCCTAGCAACGAAATGAGCAGCCGCAGAAAATCAAGTTATATAAAACTTGCCTTACATTGAATATATACGTAGATTTGATAATTACTGGAAGCGGTTACTTTTAGAAATGAACTGTTGTAATGAGTTCAGAATGTCACTAATAGTTGAGTTATTCAATGCGCCGTTACCGTATAAAGTAGTTTTCACATCGTATCCTTCAATATAAAAATACATCCTTGTTCTTAAATTTTGATAGTTCCGACATAATAGTAGATGTATAACAAACTAGTTTTCCCCATAAGATTTTAGTTGGTGCCGTTTTCGCCATAAGATTTGTAGCCGTTTTCGCCAAGTCGAGGTTCCGTTATGTCCAAATGGTGCCGTTTTCGCCAGGTGCCGTTTTGCTGTGGTTTCGTTTTAGCCTGAACCCATTTAAATGGGCTATTGCTTTTGCTCCCTGCATGGACCCTAGCTGAATTCTGTATATAGAAATTATTTCGCAAGTGTAACAGTAAATAAATATAGTCCCCCAATGGAACAGCGCAAAGCTAAGTTTGCCATTTCATCTAAGCTGAAACCAATAGACTTGTCAGTTTCCGGGTACAGAAACCTAGCTGAAACCTACATTACCCAGTATCAAATAGGTTTCCGCAACAACGGAAACTAAGTCATTTTGCTATGAATGTTTCAGCGACCTGAAACTAAATGAAAACTCATGAAGACAGTTTCAGTTGTAGAAACCTGACGGAAACCTAGATTTGTTACTTTCAGTTTTGTAAACTATGCGGAAACTAGCATTGTCTGTTTCCGGATACTGAAACCTAGCGGAAACCTACATTACCCAGTATCCATTAGGTTTCCGCAAGAATGGAAACTAAGTTATTTTTGCTGTGACTAGGCTACCACTCCGCTCGACGCGTACGTAACCTATGTTCATGGGTTCGAATCCAAGTTTCGACCAGGATCTATAACTCTTGGTTTGCACCATATGGGGTTAAACATAATGGTATGCTTCTGGAACCTTCATAACGACTGTCTTCAGCCTGTCGAGCGGACACTTTAACCATTAGGCCACCCTAAAGCCCCTTTTTCTGTGTTTCTGAAGAACCATTAGTAATTTATAAGTCGCTACGTTTTGAGACAACATTTGAAACTGAATATCAGGGAAATACCCGCTTTTGGTGGTTAGAACTGTTTTATGCAAAATTAGCTGACGTCCGAGTCTTTGTGCCCCGATCACAAGATGTATCAAAGACATCAAGATAGACAAGCACTTAATTCTGAACCTTCATTCTTTCCAGGTTTGAAAGCAAATCCATTGCCAATAATTAGAATATATATACATGTACTTCGACAGAAGTGATGCATGTTTAGACAGGTCTGGTTCCAAACATAGTACGAGTGACATGGGATTCGAACTGAGCCCATTGTAATCGCCTAATGATTAACGCCCATCAGTAATGTGCTCGGGGCGTATTATGGGGTGTATTACGGGGCGAAAGTAGGAAAGACTTCAGATGTTAACCATCCGATGAAGACTTCATGGATGTTAACCATCTCCGATTTGAACTTAAGTTTTTACTCAGATTTCAAACTGAGTTTGATCATTTGGAACATCCGCCCAAACAACTTAAGTAATCCATGATCTGGTATGGTTGGGTTTAATATTGATTTCAGTTCATTTCTAAATTCATTTTTCTATTTGAGTAAAAACTCGAACTTAAGTCAACTCAGACTAACGAGAAATCGGGGCCTGGTTATCTTTCATTCATTTACTCAGCTCAAACTAACAGTTTATTCATTATTACCTAAATGTCAAAGCGTTGGTGTTATTTTCAACTAAAAAGCTAGTCCGGGTATTTGTATCACTGAAAGACTTCCGATGTAAACTGTCCAAGTTACCCCAACCCTGTTCGATTCAATAACCCATGCTTGTAGTAAGAGGCAACTAACGGGATCGGGTGGTCAGGCTCGCTGACTTGATTGACACATGTCATTGTATCCCAGCTGTGTAGATCGATGCCCATGCTGTTGATCACTGGATTGTCTGGTCCAGACTCGATTATTTACAGACCGCCGCCATATAGCTGGCATATTGCTGAGTGTGGCCTGGACCCGTGAAGATCCGGGTTAGAATGAACCCATGCTTGTCGTAAGAGGCAACTAACGGAATCGGGTAGTCAGGCTCGCTGGCTTAGTTGACACATGTCATCGGTTCCCAATTGCGTAGGTCGATGCTCATGCTATTGATCACTGGATTGTCTGGTCCAGACTCGATTATTTAAAGACCGCCGCTATATAGCTGGAATATTGCTGAGTGCGGCGTAAAACTCAACTCACTCACGCCACTGACTGTGGCCTGATTCAGCAAACAGATGGCCATATAGAGGAGCAATAACTAATTTGATCTGTATGGGTTTTGATATATGTTCACTCACTGACCACTTAGAGGCAATCTATTCAGTTTCACTATTACCCAATAGTGAGAACGTTGGTATTATTTACCAAAGAAACTTTTCGAGTTTATTTCTGCACTGAAAAACTCCGTATGAAAACTGTGCTATGGTAGAAGATTAGTAAATAATATCTTACCCAGTTACAGCCGGATATAGTCTGAGTGTCTCCATGATTACGTGATCCATGTATTTCAGTCCGCCAATATTATCATAGTTTGGAGTTTTCTGAAAGACAAATGTCTCATATCAGGACATTGGTTATGTAAATATTTGTGCTTTTACAAACTCCCTGAAAAAGGGATGAGTAAAATAAAGTGAAACAAGTTTTCATGTCTTGTGTTGATGGCACCACAATGAGTGAGTGAGTTTAGTTTTACGCCGCACTCAGCAATATTCCAGCTATATGGCGGCGGTCTGTAAATAATCGAGTCTGGACCAGAAAATCCAGTGATCAACAGCATGAGCATCGATCTGCGCAATTGGGAACCGATGACATGTGTCAACCAAGTCAGCGAGCCTGACCACCCGATCCCGTTAGTCGCCTCTTACGACAAGCATAGTCGCCTTTTGTGGCAAGCATGTGTTGCTGAAGACCTTCACGGGTCGATGGCACTATAAGGGGTGACAGTTATCGAGACGTGATCCTTCACTGCCATACGAGGGGCGGTGGGGTAGCTAATTGGCTACAGTGTTCGCTCCTCACACCGAAGACTCGTTTTCAATTCCCCACATGGGTACAATGTGTATGGCGCATTTCTGTTGTCTCCCGCCGTGATATTGCAGGGATATTGCTAACTGATCACTCACTCACTCTCTCTCTCATACGATATATGAAGCTAAAGGTCTGGGAAACCTGGCATCAGAAGTCGCGGCCGTTAAACTTTCAAATCAGCCAGAGTCGAGACCTCTAAATTATTCGAATGATATCAGACAAATATGTGATTTCCGTTTCTTCAAAACAAATATACCCAGAGTAGCCAGAATGTAACAAATTAGAGCACCGCTATTATGCTGAGGATCATTTACATATCCAGAAATTTCTGAGCGTGGTAGTCGTCACTTACATCGGGCAGTCAAAATGTGCTTAGTGTTAGCCTGGTGCAACCTCCTGAAGGGTCCGTCGTCAGATCTCTTCGTAGAAATTTATCGTATCATATTTGCGGGACACGTTGGTCTATGTGCTACAACTCGCTGTGGAGAGTTGTGTCCCTTTGTTGATAGGATGCCCTTGTTTTGATATCCGATCCCAGATTCCTCAATATATAGCCTTTTATCAGCACCTAGCTCGATAATCTATCTATACCTATCAGAAACATTTTCTATTTTCGTTTAGTGTTGATTAGGGCCGATAAAAATCTTTCGATTTTGAAATGACGTGATGTGATTTTGCGTGGCGTGTCTTTGTGGGTCAGTGTCACGGTTAAGAGAAACAAGATGTTTTGGTTGGGTGTTTTAAATTACGTACGTCTCCCAAAACCGAGTCGACTTCTTCAGTGAGCCGCTGTTGTACATCCGGGTTCATAGCCAGAGAGTAGGCAACAAAATGGAGGGTGTTGGCCGTAGTTTCGTATCCAGCAATGAAGAATAATAAAGCCTGTCCAAGTATTTCGTCGTTGGTCATTTCTGGAATGGAGAAAAAAAGGAATACAGTTTTGCTTATTTTTGCATATAGTCAACACAGAGTTCAACGTTTGCGACAGAAGGGAACTTGTATTACGTCTACATTTGTTGGAAAAAATTCACTTCATTGGCCCAGTACTTTCTATGGCCATGATTATAAAGGACCCTGGAGAAACAGCCCACAACAGAATTGGTAAAGTTAAAATAAGTTTAGTTAAACTTAACAGTGTGATCCGTACAGTGTGCGACATATTTCCCAAATTTTGCTAGTCAGTCGGGCTAGCTATGCCTGAAAGTTACCAGCCCACAAAATATTTCACTAGCCCGAAATTTACTGAGTATTTTTTGAGGCCATAATCTTTTCACGATAAGGAGCAATACGACAACGGAAACAAACGTTTGCTTTAAGATCCACTCTGATTGCCTCTTTTTTTTAAGTACATAAATACCCGTGAAAATCTGAGTTAGATTTGATCTTCAGTAACCCATGCTTGACGTAAGAGGTGACTAACGGAGTCGGGTGGTCAGGCTCGCTGACTTGGTTGACACATGTCATCGTATCCCAATTAGGTAGATCGATGCTCATGCTATTGAGTGTTGATCACTGGATTTTCTGGTCCAGACTGGATTATTTACAGAGACTGGATTATTTACAGACTGCCGCCATTTAGTTGGAATATTGCTGAGTGCGGCGAAAAACTAAACTCGCTTTAAAATACGTAAGCCATCTCAGCATTTTAGGACACTTTTCACGCAAAGGAAACAAACTTTTGCTTCGAGATTCGCTCTGAGTGTCCCTTCTTTAAAATACATAAGCCATCACAGCATTCTAGGACACTTTTCACGACAAGTAGCAAAGGAAACAAACTTTTGCTTTGAGATCCACTCTGACTGCCCCTTCTTTAAAATACATAAGCCATCTCAGCACTGTAGGACTTTCACGACAAGGAGAAGAGGAAACAAATTTTTGCTTTGAGATCCACTCTGACTGCCCCTTCTTTAAAATACACAAGCCATCTCAGCACTGTAGGACTTTCACAAGGAGCAGAGGAAACAAACTTTTGCTTTGAGATCCACTCTGACTGCCCCTTCTTTAAAATACATAAGCCATCTCAGCACTGTAGGACTTTCACAAGGAGAAGAGGAAACAAATTTTTGCTTTGAGATCCACTCTGACTGCCCCTTCTTTAAAATACATAAGCCATCTCAGCACTGTAGGACTTTCACGACAAGGAGCAAAGGAAACAAACCTTTGCTTTGAGATCCACTCTGACTGCCCCTTCTTTAAAATACACAAGCCATCTCAGCACTGTAGGACTTTCACAAGGAGCAGAGGAAACAAATTTTTGCTTTGAGATCCACTCTGACTGCCCCTTCTTTAAAATACATAAGCCATCTCAGCACTGTAGGACTTTCACGACAAGGAGCAAAGGAAACAAACTTTTGCTTTGAGATCCACTCTGACTGGGGTTTTCATCAGTCCCATCATCCTCTGCGTCCATCAGAAGTTGGAAGAAGTCTTGTCTTTTCGGCTACAACAGAATGAGGGAAAGGGTGACTCTTACATCACACACATCCACACCACGTGTATGAAACTGTAATTATTCCGACCAACAAAGACAGTGAGAGAAAGCATAAGAGATAAAACGAATGAGATTTCCTTCCGTGTTTCTAAGCACATTCAATTTCTTAAAATGCAAATGAAAATTTTCAATCGTTTTATAGTTCTCTTGCGTGACAGTTAGTATATGTATACATGGACAATTATTCACCACCGCGGGCTCTTCAGTTCAATGCATAGAGGAAACACTGTAGACGACGGTAAATAAGTTCCGGAATTCTCATCTATCTGTTAAACGTTGAGAGGAAACACAAGATACGATGAGAATTCCTAATTCACCAGCGCTTGTGTACTTACCTTTCCGTTCCTTAAATCAGTCTTGCGTTGTTCAATCATTTCATTCAGTACCTTCGTGAAGAACTTTAGGGTGCTCTTTGAAAAACCGCTCACACCTAAAGCTCTGAAGAAGGGTGTGAGTGCGGGGAAAAGCACTGGAAAATAAAATAAAATTCACGTTCAACAGCAATTATTCAATAACAATAAAAGTGTCAAGCTACCAAAGCCGCCAAAGCTGATAGTGGTGAATCATCAATGTAACTGGTACACAATAGATCTAGGAGATACCCTCTCATTGAGATTTATGTTTCACATATTTATTCATCAGTTTGGTGCTTTGCCCTTCATATAACGCTTTGTAGTTTTGAATATGTTATATACTGAACAGCAAAAGAAACGCAGGTTTCGAAAAAATATAATCTCATAAAAGTAAGCGTTCGTGTTTATGTCTTCTATTTAAAAACTTGACAAAAAGCCAGAGTTGCGTTTCTTTTGTTGTTTAGTATATACACACCGAGAAAGCATTTTAACATTCTTGAATCATGTAACAGGAAATTTCATCTATCAACGATACTACGTTTGAAAGTACTCAATCATCAATGTAACTGGTATCAAATCGATTATTTTAACATGATTCAAATGTTTCATTATTCAGATAGCAAACCCCTGTTCTGGTTTGACACCCCAAAGTGTACTGTGTAATAATTTATGAGTCTATAAACAAATAACACAATGAAAAATTATGTCTTGGAAGATGTGTCATAAATATGAAACATCAAATAGTACGATGTGATGTTTTGCATACTTTGCTTACTTTATCCACAGCATTAGAGTTATCGTAGAACTGGGGATTTAACAATGCTGTAATTGTAACGCTCAATTTGAAAAATAGATTTTAAGATATGGCGAATTTACTCAGATGCATGAAACATTTTATCTAAAAATTTTAAAAAGACCATCGGGCTGGCTAGCTGTAAATTTAGACCGTCCGTCAGAAATAGCCCGTCTTGGGAGGTTGGACGGGCCTTATTTCATACACTGATATTAAATGGCAGGAGAGGCTCTTCCATTTTCAAACTGAAACTATGGAAGCCTTTAAGGTATCTAGCGACAATCCTTAAACAACTGATCCAAACTACTGTGTAGTCCTTGAAAAATGATCAAACGTCACCTGACACTGTGCATTCAACTAAAAAATTATCAAAGGCCTGAGTACATTCAATATACCAGTGATCAAACTTTGCTGCCTATCTCCGATCAGTAAATAATTGATCAAATGTCTGTGTACATTCACAAAACAACTGATCTAAAACCTTACCTTCAATATACCAGTGATCAAACTACGCTGCCTATGTATGTTCAGTAAGTACTTGATCAAGCATGTGCACATTTCCTGAGCTTCGACCACAACTGTGGAAACCCTAATTAGCCACAGCACGCTACTCACTTACTAATAATCATCATAACAGGGTTTAAGATTCCTTGCCCAAAGAACTTCTTTGCCTCCTGAACAAAAACATGTTTAAAGTCACTTTGGGAATCCACTTCGATCCCAAACGCTGTGCTTGCTATGACGTCCATTGTGAATGCACCAAAGTATCTGTGATGAAGTTCACATAATTAATTATTGAGCATCACATGGACTTTCTTTATAAAACAATACATTTGTTATGGTATACGTCGAATATAACAAAACATGTAAACCAAAAAGCCAACAGAGTCAAATATGTTATATTTGTGTAAAAGCAACTTACCAATAGAAAAGACAATATAAAGGATTTTACGACACCATGCCCCTTTACATATGCAGGGGCGGATACCGATTTTTTAAGAAAGCGCGCGCGTACAGTTCATTTTCACACGTTTTCACGAGAGTTTCAATGGTCATTTAATAAACTTTCAGGACAATTGGGATCCTTGGATATGCTTTATAACATATCATTGCAGATTTGACAAATCGTCCTCTTAAACACCAACATTTTAAAATTTTAATTAGGTGGAAAAGTGTGGAAAAGGAACATTGCGTTGTTAAATATAATGCTTAGATGTCAGTATGAAATGATATTCAACAGATAGACTGCAAACTGGACACAAGCGTGTCAACTACGGACATGTGCACTGACATAAGCCGGGTCGTGTAGAAGGTAAGTCTTCGTGAGGCAGTCTGGTGTCTGGTTTGAGATTTATGCACAAAAACATATGGGTTCAGATGCTGCGTCCTTTATCCTGTTGTTTCATTTGGACACGAGTGGGAGGTTTCTTTTTAGAAGTATACGAATTGGAAAATAATAAGTAAGTACACAGGTTCGCCTTACCCTTTGACATCAATCCTCTCGTTCGATTCCGCTGCTTTAACAAAGTTGGTTGTAAGTTTATCGGCGCATTGGTTTATTCGGTCGCACATCTGTAAGAAAACTTGAAAATTACCAAACCAGTAATTGATTCCGCATATATTTGCAAAAAACACCAAGACACAGGTGCGTGCGTGCGTGTTTGGGTGAATGAATGAGTGGGTGAGTTGTGTTTAACGCCGATCTTTACATCAGTTCAGTCTCTTCAGCTCAGCATGAACGTGATGCAGGCCTTAGATTGACTGTTGACTGCTGTTTAACTCTACACTTGGTCATGTTCCATCGCATGCGATCATGGCATACAAAGGGACACAACTCCACATAGTAAAGTCTATGCCTGGGGCATCTGGGCGACCTTTTTTCCGTGCTGCCATAATATTCCATTTGACAAATACATACATATATATCGCTCCTCGAGGTTGTATTGTTTGTTTTGTAAGATAATGTGTTTATACTACAAACGAAGCCACGTAACCTAAAGTACGTAAAGTTTGAATCTCAGTCAAATACAGAAAATACTGTGAACGAAAAGGCGAATTAGAACGACTCCTTGTCCCACCCCTTGTGTTGATGTTTCTTGTACGTAAGAACGAGTTGCGTATTGTTCTTCTTGGACTAAAATAGTGAGTGAGTGAGTAAGTTTGGTTTTACGCCGTTTTTAGCACTATTCTAGCAATATCACGACAAAGGGCCTCAGAAATGGGCGAGACACATGTCGAAGCCGGATGTTCGGCGTGACGAGCGAATGCTTTAACCACTAGGCTAGCCCCTGGATTGAAATAATGAATAAATAAACTGAATAATGCTCTTACCAGGCGAAGTTTGGAGGCACTGAATGTCGGGCTTATAATATTCCTGATTCGTTTCCAGTTGGCGCCTTTCTCAAGGAGAACACTTTTGTTCACTGGGTAGTTGCTCAGGTCTAATATCTGTATGGTGATGAAACATTCTGCATATATACACTGTAACACTCTCAAACATTCTGCATATATTCACTGTAACATTGCAAAACATTAAGTATATATTCACTGTAACATTCTCAAACATACTGTATGTATTCGCTGTAACATTCTCAAAAATGCTGCATATATTCACTGTAACACTCTCAAACATTCTGAATATATTCACTGTAACATTCTCAAACATTCGGCATATTAACTGTAACATTGTAAAACATTCGAATATATACACTGTAACACTCTCAAACATTCTGAATATATTCACTGTAACACTCTCAAACATTTTTGCATATATACACTGTAACATTCTCAAACATTCTGCGTATATACACTGTAACATTCTAAAAAATGCTGCATATATTCACTGTAACATTCTGAATATATTCACTGTAAACAGACATGTAACACATGTTATTTGCACATAGACTTCCTGACAAGTGTTTGAATGTAGCATGCAAGATAAATGTACCGTTTGACCATATCTAAACATATCATAGACATTCAATGGGAACTAAAAGACTAAAGGACACGTATATAAATATAGAAAACATATATTCAGATTCCAAAAACTAAATACTTACCACTCTGTCCGTGAAATTCTGGAAATCCCTGATCAGGATCTCTCTGGCAATGTCGGGATCAAGTACACTGACCATCGGAAGGCCACCCAGAAAAATCCTGAAAAGACAGCAGGCTTGTTTAGCAGGAAGTAATGATTGAGTGAGGGAGTAGAGACTGCTTCATGGGGGAGGAGGTCCAAATAAAGAATTTATAGACATTACTCAGGCGCACGTGTATGGAGCTGAAGAACCATTACCAGGAAGATTCTGGATTTGAACTGATGATCACGTCCCCTAAGGGAGATAAACATCAGCATTCTTGGTAAATGATAACGATGTTATCAGCCCCAGAAATGGGGCTTCACACATTGTACCCATATGGGGAATCGAACCCGGATCTTCAGTGTGACGAGCGAACGCTTTAACCACTAGGCTACTTCCCCCCCGACTGGATTAAATCCAGGCCGCCGTCATATCCCTGGAGTATTGCCGAGTGTTAAGAGAGAGAACCAAACAGACAAATTAAGAATAACAATTATGCATGCACATATGATGGTGACTTCGATCATATGACCTTCTCAAAGTTTCTGTCACACTCCCGTTTATGTATGATTTAAAGCAAGGGGAGATAAGCCAGACGGATCTACATACCCGAATACTTTACCATACTGTTTGAAGTGCTTGTTGTCAAAGTCCAGACCCTGTAACAGTGAGTGAGTATGCTTTTAAGCCGCCTTTAACAATATTCCAGCAATATCTCGGCAGGGACACCGGAAATGGGCTTCACACATTGTACCCATGTGAGGAATCGAGCCCGGGTCTTCAGCGTGACGAGCGAACGCTTTAACCACTAGGCTACCCCACCGTCCCCGACCCTGTAACAAGATGCCATCTTTGATATGTATGTATCAAATGAAAACATTGACAATCATCAACATACAGGTGACAATGTCAAAATGGCCTGTATTGTATTTTGTATCACATATTACATCCCGAAGAAAAGTGATTTGGTGTCACAGATGTTTTGGGGGATAAGTTTTGTATTGATGACTGAGCATACAAATATATTCATGTTCTCTAAAATATTCAGAATAGGAATATCATACTTATATATCCGAGAGAGATTTTACCTTTGATGCAATCTTGGGTTTTTAAGTCAAAGTGAACGACGAACCTTATTGTTCTTTTCTAAGAAGGTATGTTTGACATTAAACTATGAGCTCACGTGCTGAATCATTTGATGGAAGTTCCCAATATAAATCACAGGCTCCGGACCAGGAATACCAGCATCCTTGAACAAACGGTTCCTCTTCTTTCCATATCTGAACATAATAGAGATCCGGATTAGAAGTGGCATCAACCCCATGGTTTTCGTAAGAAGCGAGAAACGGAATTGGGTGGTCAGGCTCGCTGACTTGGTTGACACATGACATCGTATCCCATTGCGTAGATCGACACGCACGATATTGTTCACTAGAGTGTCTGGTCCAGGCACAATTATTTACAGACCACCGTCGTATAGCTGGAATAATTCTGAGTGCGGCGTTAAACAACAAACAAACAAATGGAAAAGTAACGTCAACAGTTTGAAGCAAACTTACGTAGGTGCTTATGAGATGCCCCCTTTCTAAAATCTGAATGTAGCAAAACGGCTAGCCTTAGTCTACAAAACGGCCTTCACCTTCTGACACTTAATGGGGCAGTGCAGGTCGTCCCTCTGTTTTCTGTCTTGGTTATTTACCCTGACAATAGTCAACAAATCTTATTTGTGGATCAGTTATCCAATAAGTTTACTTACACATAAATCAGAAACAAAACCGATATCCACAGAATCCATGTTGGAGATATGTCAACACAGCCGAGTATCTCCATCAGGAAGTGTCTCCAGGAAAACAATCGGCTTCCAAATCAACACCGAGATCAGTCTGTTCTTGGTGATTCACGAATAATAAACTGACGTTATTGGGATCCACTCAGTGACGTGCATTCAATGTCATGTCAGATAAAATTCGGGTTCCGCGCTCAAGACAGTTTGGTTGGTCCCGTTTGGTCTTTCCTGGGAGATTCGCTCGCAAGATAGCGAAAAGGGGAGTGTCTCAAAACGTTTTAGATGCATTAAAGGTCCATCCACAGTAAATGTTATGTGGGGAACGGGAAATGGGTCTGTCAGATTTCGTTTCATGTTTGTAAAGTATAAACTGTTTGATATTTCTTTGTGAAACATAATCGGTGCCTGTTTATTATTATGTGCGTTTAAAGGGAAACTAGTTGGGACTACGATTTAACTGAGGGTGTTGATTTCTTTCTTATGTTGTTTCATCAACCAAGTCAGCCAGCCTGACGTCTAGATCCCGTTAGTCGCCTCTCATGACAAGCATATGGGTTGCACGAAACCAACTCAAACTTAACCGGAGTAGCACACGTAGCCACTGACACATGCGTCCGATGGCGAGCACACACAAACACACGGGTCACGCGCGTGCGCGCACGCTCGCACGCAAGCACGTTGCTAATATAAGAGCTTTGAAACGTGTACCTATACCAATATGTATAAGATGCAACACAACTTCAAACTGGAGTGTTTCATCCAAATCATTAACTGTAAAGTTACCATTTCCTAATTCCTTTTCAAAATCAGAGACTACCCCAGCCCATGACCCCAGCCCCAATCCCCAGATCCCACCCCACCCCAGGTTTTACAGTATGCCGTCTGTGCTTGTGACACGGCCCCTTTTCAATTTGTTATCAGGCACTCGGCCATGACCTTTTGATAGCGTTTTGACTCGCCGGTCTCGCCACTGTAGAGGCTGTGCGCCTAGAAATTGACCCAGGGGCTTGTAACGCTAAAAACTGCCATCAGTGTATATACTGTCAATAAAGACCCCGTCAGTGACAGCACATCCATTGATGGCAGCTTTTAGCGTTACATGCCCCTGTGGAAATTGAAGGAACTTTGTTCTGACAATTGTCAGTAAATCTCATTAGTATATAAGTGATCCAATAATTTTATTTACTCATAAATCAGAAACAAAACCGATATCCACAGAATCCATGTTGGAGAGATGTCAACACAGCCGAGTATCTCCATCAGGAAGTGTCTCCAGGACACCGGCTACTTAAACCACCCCGAGGAGACAAGCCTTACAGTGATGATTTACGAACCCAAAACTGCAGCAGTGCCGCTGCGCCCTGTTGGGTGGATACACCTAACCTGCTGGGTTAAATCAGGGATAATCTACGTCTACTATTGTCCCTGGTTAAATGTATCGAATGTAATCTGAGCGATAATATGGTTTGCAAGGTCCTTGGGATAATTGTATCAAAAGGTTTTAAGTATAGGTTAGACAAGTACTTGATGCTCTACGCGATTAGACACCAAAGCTTTTGTCTGGATTGAAAAAAACACACACAAAAACATGTCATCCGAGCAACTGCTTACCTGATCGTGACAAAACGTTTTACTTGTATTTAAGTTGTGCAGTGGGCCAAAGGGTTCAGCCTGGTTTCCTGCCCTGGCGCTTCACTTACCCGGCTAGAACTGCTCTGTGGTGGCCTTCACGCTAGGCACACAACCATTTATTGAAAATATTGATAAAATTTAGTAACCAGAAAACTACTTCATATTTAATGACCTTAAATATCAGAACATTGAGCCAATGACAAACCCTATCATTAAACACCATTGAGAAGGAACTGTAGAGGTGTGCAAAAAAAATTTATACTCAATGTCAAAAGTTTTTGTGACACACAAACAACAAACAGAATCAATGTTAAACTTTTAAAGCCGCGAATTAAATCATATTACAAGGAAAGACAAATGCTTCAAGGTACGGTAACGATGAACAGTTCATAAAAACAGCGCAGCTGGTATATGAGTGAGTGAATTTAGTTTTATGCCGCTTTTAGCAATATTCTAGCAATATCACGGCAGGAAACACCAAATATGAGTTTCCCATTGTACCCACGTGGAGATTCGAGCCCGGGTCTTCGGCATCCCTAGCGAACGCTGTAACCACGTGGCAACCCCAAGGCCCATCTGGCGTATGAAAAAGCGCCACTACACAAGAGGAAGTTCACACGGTCAGTAGCGACTGTTTGCAACCTTTTCACTGACAGCCTCATTGAGGCCACTTAACGTCCATGAAATTCCTGGGGAAGATCATTCCATATACGTGGAAGGATTTGGTGAAAATCTTGTAGCGTTGTTGAAGTATTCGGATGACGTCGTAAGCGTCGCTCCATTTCACCCAAGACATATTTAGTGGGTGGTGGGGTATGGGGTGGTAGGTGGGGGGCAAATGAGGGGATCTTACGGGTCAGGGAAACGCTTGACATTGTTCCGATTAAGATACTACTGTACAGCTCAAACAACGTGTAGGTTGGTGTTATCGTGCTGGTGGCGGTCTGTAAATAATCGAGTCTCGACCAGACACTCCCGAGATCAACATAATTAGAATCGATGTCAACCACATCAACGAGCCAGACCACCTGATCCCATTAATCGCCTCTTGTGACAAGCATGGGTTGCTTAAGACAAAGTCTAACCCGGATCTACAAGGAGTTGCACACGTTGGGCAATTACTGTAGAAGAGCGGTTACTGTAGAAGCCTGAAAAATAGGACAGCATTAGTACGGTTGACCAGTCGTACTGGTGTGAATTGTAACTCTTTTATATTGTACTCAGTCAACCACACTGCCTTTGTACCTTTAACACTCAGACACAACAGACAGACTAAGCGGGTTGATCTTGCCATTCCAAACAAACTGTAAATATACAATTTGGAGCGATTCTTACGTAAGGTATTGCGAGGTTTGGAACCCATACACATATATTAATTACATCGGAACGACTGTCGCTTCAAACTCAAGAATCAATATTCCGTTATCTTCATATCCAGAGTCTCGATCCACAAAACGTTTGTAGACCTACGACATTTGGAAGTCTGTGATAATCTATAGAGTTGCGACAGGTCGTAACGTTACGAACGCTTTGCGGATCGGGACCCTGACACGTTTACACATCTGTCCAAGATTGACCTTGTTGGGGGCTGATTCTGTACTATCCAACGTTTTGTGACTGTTCTATAACGTCAACACTGCTGCTAATGATTTAGACCACAGTTGTATTTCAGCCACTGTTTCACGTAAACCACTTCGTAATGAAGGTATTAATTTGTCTGACTTGTTTGACTGTCATTTCTCTTATCAGCGGTCGTACTGAACCTCGCCCCATGTTTTTATCAAATGCGACGCCAAACAATGCACGACCATTTCGTGCTTTATGTCCAGACAATCCCGGTTAAGGGCTGTTAAGGACTTCGATAACCCACTGAAGTCGTGTAGAAAATGAATCAGTCGGATATGAAAGTTGTTCACTCATATATATTCACTTACTTACATTTAGACTTTAAGCATTGTTTGACCGTTTTGGAAATAAAAACGTGAAAACAAAAGACATGCATCCATGTTTCAATAAAAGCAATATATAAAAGTTAGTTATTACAAATAAATACAACAAATATAACTTCACGGCTAGTTGTTTAATCATTTACACAAGATTCCTCTAGACACTGTGCATCACAAGTCCTGGCCAATCTGTTCCCATGATATGTTGGTCAACCTGGCATACAGCCATCAGCGGTATTGTGTATGAAGGGTTCTGCCGTGACAGCATGTGGGATCGGGGGCGGTGGGGTAGCCTCGTGGTAAAAGCGTTCGCTCGTCACGTCGAAGACCCGGGTTCGATTTCCCACATAGGTATATTTATGAAAATCTATATTACCATTCATTAACATTCATCGCAAGACATATCACATTGAACATTGTACGAATAAACTAAACATAAAAGATGATGTTTAAAATCTAAATCTAAACAGATTTGAAAAAATGGCATATTTTTTTTTGTTTCTTTCGGATGTATAATAATAATAATAAAGTTCGGATTTGTAATGCGCCTGAATCCAATAATTGCTCAGGGGCGCAGGCAATAGGCTCGTTGGAATAAAAGGGTCTCAATCTCTCGCTTAAATGTCTCAAAGTCTGTGATTGTCTGAAAGTTCTGCGGAAGCTTATTCCACAGAGTGGGACCCGCCTTGATGAAACTTCTGTCACCAAATTGAACTGTCCGCGTCCTCGGAACTGTCAGTTGAAGTGTTGCTGAAGACCTCAACGATCTGGCTGGTTCATACTTGCGGATAAGGTCCTCAAGATATGATGGAGCTTGATGATGTATGGCTTTGAACACAAACATGAGAAGCTTGTACTCAATGCGGTACTGAACTGGAATCCAGTGAAGTTGTTGCAAGATTGGTAATCACAAAACTTGATTTTCCTGAGAGCCTCTGAGAGGTGCAACCCCACGGTGCGACCTTGACACTGAATATATAAGTGTGAAAGCTGGCTGACATATGCATCCTGCATCCTATATCCTACTAGCTTTACCTTTGGATAAAACCCTATACTTTCTACAGTGCCGAACTGCTTACCAAATGTAATGGTACCTAGGGATATTTGAAGACACCTCGTGTTTACTAGGGCTTGCTATTGATACAGATCCAAGAGATCGATAATCGTAAACTAAATATTGATCAATTATAGATAAATATCGGTGAAGTAACTTTGAGTAAAAATACTAAAAATGTTTGAAACAAATGAATATATTTCACATCACTGGTGAGTGGTGACATATTTATGCATGGATAACTAACAATACAGCGTCCTCAACATGATATAAAAGCTCATGAATAAAGTCCTGACACTGTGTACTGTGTGGGTTAAAAATTAATCTTTATTCTATCACAAACGTTTATGTATGATATTGTCGATAACACAAATTTCCCATCGATAATCATGAATAATACTTCCTATTATATTTCCCATTATCGATCTGTTTAGCAATCCCTAGTGTTTAATGAAACTTAAGATAAGTATCAAATACTTGCTGTCCCTCATACATATGACAAATAATCGGCTTCAACAAAAAGCTTACGACATGCTTTAAGTGAAGACATACACAAAATAGCTTTACTGGGGATATCA